AATTCATTAGATATAGGACAAGCGGGAATCCTATATTATAATAAAATTTCAAATTTTGCTTTTCTTCAAGGACACCATGAATTCCCATTCTCTAAAATCACAGTTAGTTGGCAAGATAAGAAGGAAAATTAACTTAAAAAATAGAAAACTTTCTATCTCACCTTTTGGCTTAAGCGGGTTGTAAAATGAGGGAAAACCCTATTGGGAAGATGCCTGGAAGCCAAGGAGTATAATATCAAAGCCTTTGGCTCTACTTCATAGGCTCAGAGGACGTTTCTCTAAATTCTTAGGTTCTCTTCTGTGCACTTCTACCTTTTGTAGGTCATATACCTGTGTGGAAGGATGGATTAGGACTTATTTATTTTCCTTTCCCTCTCTCCTTATTAACACCTGTGGGACTTCTACTTCAAAATCTAGCATCCCTTATAACTCTCTTACATAGAATTTTAACTATGTATCTAAATAAGTGGCTAGAAATACTATGAAATTATAACCTTTGTAACATGTATTATAAAAAGTGTGGTAATAATAATTATAGTATTAATTGCCCTTAGAATTGATTTGTCATTTACAGAATCATCATATAGATTTGTAATAAGCACTGTCTTGACATTAAGTGAGGGTTTTAGGAAAAAATAGACCTAATGTATTCGTTCTAAAGAGTTTTAGTCACAAAGGTGTCACAAATCTTCTTTCCTTATAAGAATTAGAATCATACACAGAAGGACAAAGAAATCATGCTATATTTAATCAAACATCCATCAAATTGAGGAAAATTCCATATTGGAAATAAGTCACTTGGGGGTCTTCTATATTCTTCCATGTTGGCTTAGCCCAAGGGGATCTATTACAGCTCATCTCACTATTCATAGACCCAAGGAAGATGACCACTTCTCTGATTTAAAAAAAAAATGTCCTTGCTTCTGATTCTTTTTGCAAACTCTTAAAGTCAGATTTTTATTTATATCAACCTGCAGTAACCCTAATGCTTGTTTTAATTGCTTTAGAATCTTTGGAAAATATTGTATGATGAAGAGATTGCAATCCATCACCTGTAGTACTCTTCGGGTTTCATTGTGGACTAGCCAAACCGTAAATATAGGTTTCAGTGAAAATTTGAAGCATCATCTCACTCCCAAGGGGAACGCATCAGTTTAGGGAATGTGTGTTGGAAAGGGCAAGGTAAGGTGGAAAGAAAAATCACCAATTACGTTTCACCATCCCAAGGTCATAGGAGTTTTCCTTGAGTTTTCAAGAATAAAAGTAACACTTGGCTGGGTGTGGTGGCCCATGCCTATAATCCCAGTGGCTTGGGAGGCTGAGACAGGAGGATTGCAAGTTCAAAGCCAGCTTCAGTAAAAGCGAGGCACTAAGCAATTCAGTGAGACCCTGTCTCTAAATAAAATACAAAAACTAGGGCGGGGGATGTGGCTCAGTGGTCGAGTGCCCCTGAGTAAAATCCCCAGTAACCACCACCACCACCCCCAAAAAATAATCATTATTTTGTCATATAAGTAACTTTTCCTTCTTCTCAATGAATATTCTGGAATGAAAGGACTGGTTTTGCACTCCTGTGTCTCTATCATCAGGTCTCATGATAAGCAGAAAACATTTGGCTTCACAGTTGCTCAATTCTCAGTTAGCATGACCTTGATGTATTCTGATGAGGAGCAACTGGAATTTTAGGTGCAGTTCTTAAGGGAGAAGGCTGATCAACTTTCTCATTTCCAGGAGAGGAAAAAAGGATCCCATTTGGGTTTGGTCTGGTTTGGTTTTAGATGCAGTATTAATGATTTGTTTTTCTTTCAGGTTTGAAAGTTCCATAGAGAAATCACTGGACATTTTCTGCCTGGTGGCATGGAAAGGTTTTAAATTCAAATAATGCTGGGAATACTTCAGAGCATGCTTCTTTGGCAAAGGAGGGAGTTCTGTGAGTGATCAAAACAGGACCTGGCAACCATGTTGCTGGCATGGATCTGTGCTGCTTGGATGGGCCGAGACTGATCAAATCACTGCATCCAGCAGCTGCTGGTTAATTTGCTTTTGGAATTATACTCTGTGTGGTGTTTATTAAAAAATTGGGTGCATTTAAAGGGGCACAGCAACTAGCAGCATCAGTAAAGTTTGGGATACAGAGCCAAATGGCTTATACTTAAAGGCAAGTATGCCTGGCCAATCAAAGAAGCCTTTCTGCAGCAGGCCAGATCTGTCTGTAAGTCTTGCTGCTTCTTGAATTCATTTCTTTGCCCTCCATTGCCATGTTCCAGGCCTGTATCACACTTGTCTGCCTGGCTCAGGCATGCCCTGGTGTTCTAGCCCCCTCTATCTTCTTGCTCTCATCCACTCTTCACTGACTTATCTGATGCATCAATAGAACACTTTATAGTTTAAAGTATTTTTTTAAAATTAATTTAATTTAATTCATAAGAACCATCTTCAGCTCTCTCTCACCCTGTATTTCATTTCAGCCTGCTGACATCCAGGTCTCTAAATCTATTCACAGCTGTTCTGGGCTCCTCCCCTTCAGGACCCTTCCATTTCAATTACCTCTGCCTTCTACCCATGGTATTCAACCTGCGTATTCCTGATTCTGTGACTTTCTTTGCTCTTAACATTCTTCTTAACTAAATCAATTGCTTACTGCCTCCTAAAATCTATACTTTATAGAAAATTTTCTCTGATTAGGAAAGCAAATGGTTACATAAGATTTTTCTTAAGATTACCAATATTTTCAATCTTCTAGAAACACCTCATTGCTGGGGATTCAATGTTTTAGAAACTCCATTAGGAACTTCCACATATATATGAATATCTATCTATCTATATACATATATATGATCTATGTAATTATACACACACACATAGCATATTATCTTTTAATAGCTCTTTAAGATAGCAGTTATCATCCTTAATTTATAAATCAGGTCACTGAAAGTCAGACATTTTAATTGCAGCTAGTGAAAGGCAGAATTGAGAAGTAAACACAATTTTTCCTTCAGCTAATCCAGTGTTCTTTCCATCATTTCCAGTGTACTACAGTTGCTTATGCAATTACAATGGTGGTTTTTTGGTTGATTGCATTGTTTTTAATTTCCTGTATTGCACCAATTAAGATGGCTAGGTAGGACATCCTTTATTTATTTTTCCAGTTCCTTTTTATAGTGTTAGAAAGCATTTAATGGATGGAAGTTCACTTATCAAGTTATTTGTCAAAATGACTTATTTGCCTTTGACACACTGTGCAGTTATTTCTAGAATTTTCAGTACTTCTGATAAGATTCCCATGGACTAACGTTCATGGGAGCAAATATCTGGCACAAGCAGCAGTTGGGTGGTAACCAAGTCAACAAACAAAACCAGGTCAGCCAGTTCTTCAGCAACATTCTGCCATCCCCTGAAACTCTGAGCAGGCAGCCTTCTGTATCTGTGGGTTCCTCATCCACAGATTCAGTCAACCGTGGATTAAAAATACCCTGCATAAATTGTTTCTGTCTTGACAAGACTTTTTTTCTTGTCATTATTTTCTAACACACTATAACAACTATTTACAATGCATTTATACTAGATATTACATTTATATTAGATTAGATATTAGATATTAATCTGGAGATATTTTTAAATATATGAGGGGATAGAGCATATGTGTACATATACTACACCATTTTATATAATGGGTTTAAACATCCTTAGATTTTGGTATCTGCCCGGGGTCCTGGAACCAATACCTGATAGATACTAAGGGATGACTGTACTGTGTTTGAACATCACAAAAATTTGCAGCATATAGGTGATTCAAAGTCATTTGAAATTCTTATTTCTCGTGGTCCTGTGTAATTACATGTATTGATTTCATATATTAAGAAGTCTGGTAGTCATTGCTACTAAATAAAAGAATGATTAAATGTCACTGGGATGCCAGGTGCCTTATCAAACCTAGTGTGAAATGTCCTTCTGAAGTGAACCCTGAATGGTCTTCAGATGTCTGACTCCTTCAAGCTGTTGGTCATCCTGTGAACTTGGACAGTTTGATCCTGTGTTGGATCTGGCTTGTGTGTTATTTTCTCTTGGTGTAAGCAGATGTTAATTGGGAACCAACAGATGAAACAGCTAGTGAGTTATTTCTATACTGTTTTTCTGGACAGTCAATATGTACTGAAACTTCACATGTGAGGGATAGGGGGATTGTTACATATTAGTATTTTTAGTTGAAAAATCAGGCAGGTCAGTGCAGGATTGAAATCCAGGACAGGAAGCATCCAGTATTTTCTTCCTCCTTCAGAGAAAGCCTCCATGGGCCCAATGAGTGGCACACACTCCCACTGAGGCAAGCATGACCTCTGGATGCCCCAGGCTGAGAGTGGAGGACACCTGCTAAGCAAGCTGGCTTGTCAGTGCAGGAGGGTAGTGGTCAAGAGCATGAGCTCTGGGGCAAGACAGCCTGGGCTGTGTCCCATTTCTATCACTCTTAACCGTGATCTCAGACAGTGACTTAATCTTAATCTGTATTGTGCTTTGATCACCTATAAGTTAGGATTTGCATGGTTCTCACCTTATAAGGCTGTCGTGATTGTTCAATAGATGATATATGAAAAATAAATATATCAGAGTCAGTAAACACTATGTGTTTCAGTTAAAAAAAAAAAAAAAAAAAAAACCAGCTCAGCAGCAACAAAAACAGAAACCAAGCAACCAACTCCTTTCTATAGTGCGGTTCTCAAAACATTCATGACAAGAAAGCCTTCTTTATTATCGTATCTCTCTTTTACCCACTGAAGATACCAACGTTTCTGATAGACAGGTTGGACACAAGTCTTAACTACAATATGAAAATTCCAACCACAATCCCTATTACCCAATCTCTAGTGCTGTTTGAGGGCTGCAAAAGTTTTTATCCCAGTGTGGACAGGGCAAATGAGAGTTTGGAACATATTCTCCAGAAACATCAGCAATGAGATGAGAATAAAATTCAATTTACAAATGAACTTTTTCTTGTTTTCCAGCTACCACCACACAATCAAGGCGGAAAGGCCACTTCTCTCGGTGCCCCAAGCAATACAAGCATTACTGCATCAAAGGGAGATGCCGCTTCGTGGTGGCTGAGCAGACACCCTCCTGTGTGTAAGTGAAGCTCTGTAGCCAGCAAGCAAAGGGGTGCAGAACAAGCTGCACCTGGGGTACAGAAAGGGCTGCACAGCCTGGGGCTTGACAGGGCTGGAAAGTCTGAGCTAACCATGCCATCTGTGCAGACACGGTTCCGCCTGGTCCTGCCCTCAGCCACTTGTTTAGGGCCCTCTAGGCAGCCACTTATGGAGAGACTGACACAGACTTTCCTCCTGAAATATGAGCGTGTGAGAGCGCAGATCTGCTTCCAGGCTGGGCAGTGTCCTCTGCTCCCTTGCGCAAGCAAAACTGATTCTGTCCAGTGTTAGGATGCTTTTCAGCTCAAATAATCTCCTGGGTGGTTCAGATGGAAACAGATCCTTCTGGCATGTGTTAGGTGGTTTGTAGTTAATGTAAATATGAAGGAATTCCTGCCAAATTAAAAGCTCCTTTTGCAAGGTGTCAGTTAAGTGTGAAGAAGTCAGTCTTATTTATAAATAGATATCAGCAAAGCAGGGTTAAGTACAGTTGGGGACTGGGAGAGGAGCTCTCTTTCCAACTTTTAGGAAATTTAAGAGTCTAAGCACATGCAAAAGTTTTTGCATCTTTTAAATATTCATTTTCTTCTAATGAGGTATCCCTCTGAAGTGCTGTCTGGGATATTTTCTTTATAGTGATTCTTTCTAATTTTGACCTGAAGTTCACAGAGTGTTTGTTATTTTTCACAGTTTTCCCAGTACAGAGTTTTTGTTTTTTCCATAAGAATCTCAGAATAGTGATTCTGATTTTGTAGGGGAGTTTAAAGGTCATGGATATAGCATCAGAAAAATGAGAAATGATTCCCCCATCTATGTATGATATATCAGAGTCCATAAATGTGTCCTATTGTCATGTATAACAAATTAAAACACATAAAAATTAAAAATAATGAAAAAGAAACATTCTAATCAAAAAATTAATTATAATTATGTTCAATTTTAAAAAGAAATATGCATGAATAATCCTTAGCAAGGATAAAAATTGCTAATGCAAAATATTAAGGAAAGTGTGTTGGAGGTGTGCTAAGAAGGGCAGAGCTGACTCTTTGAAATTTCATTTCATTATTTACTGGCTTGGAGGCATACATTGGGTTTTTAAAATATCAATGTCCTTTAACCCAGAACATTTTTCTAACTTATCCCTATGTCTGCAGATTTATTGTTTTTTTAATATTGCTGTTTTCTAAAATGTAAATCACCATATGTCATTTACTTTCCTAGGATCAACACACAGCTCGTCCCACTCACTTTGAGGCTAAAACATATTTCCTTGACCTCTATGGCTCCTCTGATTCTGACTTAACTTCTGGCTATACCTCTCACCATATTCCCAAATGTTCCCCTAAAGTCCTACCTCCCTAGTCATGGTTTATTATACAAGTTCTTCCCATAGGCTTGAGAGCTTATTCCTGATGATGGTTTAAGATACAACTCAAATGCCAGCTCCTCCTGGACCTCCTCACTGACTTCCTCCTTCCCAGGCACATGGCCAGGTGTCAAGTAGATGCCCTTCCTCTGCCATCTAGTCACACTTCAATGGAGGCACTTATCCACTAGAGCATAGCTGTCAGTAGACTTTGAATGACCTCTCTGTGGCTGTAAATTCCTAGAGAGCGGGGCTTGTGGCTTACTCACTTTCGTGTTCCAGTGGTAAGCATGGAGCCTAAATTTAATAGGTGTGCAAAAAATGACTGATGAAGGAATGAATACGTGTCTCTACCTGAGCCCATCTAATGCGATGCTAAATTTCAAAACCAAGGCCTCAATCAGAACCAGAAGCTCTTCTTAGTGTAGAATGATACGGAACCAATGGGAGGCAGAAGAGCACCAGGTTAGGGGACAGATTTTAGAGTCAGATAGACCTAAGGTGAGATTTTGTTTTTTACCCATTATTAGCAATGTAAACAGTGGGTCAATTACCTTTCCTAAACCTTGGTTTTTATTTTATATAAATAAATAGATAAATATATATATGTATATATACACACACATATATACATATATACGTATACACACACACACACACATATATATATATATATATATATATATATATATATATAGAGAGAGAGAGAGAGAGAGAGAGAGAGAGAGAATACCTTTATTTATTTATTTTTATGTGGTACTAAGGATCGAACCCAGTGCCTCACACATGCTAGGCAAGTGCTGTACCACTGAGTCATCCCCCCCCAGCCCCTCAGTTTTTATTAAAAGGGATAAAAATACCTTCCTCTCAAGGGTTGAAGATTAAGCCAAGTAATATACATAAAATCACTTATGTGGTTTCCGACATTGTGGAGTCAACGTTCCGTAATCATTGAGATGAGTGGACAGATATCCAACCTAGGACTGACCTTTCATGGTTTGGTATAGCATGAATTCAGACAAAAATGGTCTTACCATTGGTGACAGCATCATCTTGGGAAACCAGAAATATCTCCTTTCACTTGTGATCATAGACATAGATCATGGACTCTAGTTTTTACATGCACAAAAAAAAAAAAACAAGTTGTGTTTCAAATAATTCAAATGCCCTATTAGTTTCTCCATATTTTCCTGGAATGTGGATAATTTGTTTCCAGATATATAATTTTCATTTATGAATGCAGCACAGTTAATTTACATGCTGCTGAGGCCATAAGCTTGGCAGCCCGACTGCCTGTGTTGGAATCACAGTCCCACTCATTCAGTGACTCTGCACCTCTGTTTCTTCACCTGCAGAAGGGGGTTGATAATGACCCCTACTTCAGAGCTTGTTATAATGATGGACTTAGTACGTACTTTGTCAATCTCTTGGAACAGTGTCTGGTGATTATTTCAGAACAGTGACCCCCTAAGCCTGGTTTTACAGTCCCTCTAGAGAGTTGTGGAATCTTTAAAAATTATTCTCAGTTTTCCAATTTTATTTTATAAGGTGTTTATTTGATAAACATTTATTCATGACTTAGTAAACATTAAGATCTTGCTCCCTTGGCTTCTTCCCCTCCCATATGGGAAATACTCTTGCTAAAAATGACCATCAGCTAATAGGTCACTGGTCAGCTGAAGACTGACATGACATGAGAGCAATTATAAGTATGTTAAAGTTTGACCTTCCAGCATGGCTTCATTGGCTTACAACATACTGAAGCACTACTTACTGAGAAATTCAGTTCAAGCTTGTTCAGCCACTGAACCCAGAGCTCATAATTAGAAAAACATTGTAATAGATAAGGAAGTCATTGTTGGGCCTTTTATAGGCAAGATTATTGTTTTAAAATGCCATATTTACCGAGTATGAGGGCACACGCCTGGCTTGGGAGGCTGAGGCAGGAGGATCGTGAGTTTAAAAGCCAGCCTCAGCAATGGCGAGGCACTAAGCAACTCAGTGAGACCCTGTCTCTAAATACAATACAAAATAGGGCTGGGGATGTGGCTCAGTGTTCAAGTGCCCCTGAGTTCAATCCCTGGTACCAACCAACAAACAAACAAACAAAAAACAAACATGCCATATTTAGTAAATTTATTAAAGAAATATTTAACTGGGAAGAGACTATACATATTTGCAAAATTTAATTACATTCTTCAAACTAAAAACTTCCTCTTACATGCAAATGAAAGTGAAATTCCACACCTTTTCAATCCTATGTGCTACATATTTTTGATATTTCAAGATATTTCTAAGTGCTGTCCTTGTATTTGGACCTTGGAGTAAAGTCACCTACCTATCCTGCAGGAGGCCATTCTCCCCCACTAATTTTACGTCCTTCAGCCATAGGTGACATTACATATTTCTCCTTTGCTTGCATCATAGTTTAACTTTCAATCAATGGTTGTTTCTGAGCTTGTGTTTTTGTTTTATTTGGAAACACTGTATCAGTTACAAGATTGGCATTAAGGGATCTCTTTACTTGAGAAATACAGGCTTTGCAGGAATTAACTGCCTCAGCTCTTGTCAAGCATAGGCTCTAGAATAGCCTGGCAATAAATCCTTTCTTAAGGAAAATTTAAGTTGCACAGAAATCTTTTCAAGGTGCAGAGTTAATCTTTTTGACACTTAAGTAATTCTTCATATTGTGTTCCAATGCATCTGAGAATAAAAGTGAAATATTTATTAATGGAAAGGTACTGATATTATAACAGATAAGTTTGGTTCAAATGTCCTTAGACAAATTTCTATATAATTTTTAAGTTTCTGTCACAAGTCAGAGAATTCTATGGGTAACCCACAAATCACTGAGCTGTTTCTCATCTAGTGTTGCTTAGTTGAGTCCCAGCTGGGTAAAAGATTCATAACTGTTACCTCAGACTTAGTGCATTTGCTGAGTTGACACCATATGAAGATTATATTGATAGAGACTTGCAAGATTGAAGGGGGCTAGCCCCACTTAGAGAGCTAGTTGACTTTGGTTATTCCACTTTAAGAAGGCCATGGAATAAAAGGAGGCCACTTTGGGAGGGGAAGGAGTGGTGAACAGATCTGGAACCATGGCCACAGAAAAACAGATGAAGGAACAGGACAGGACAGGCCATGTTGTGTTTTTTGGGAGGGGAGAAGTAGTTGGGGAGATGGTGAATGCAAGAGTAAAGAAGAAGCTGGGTGCAGTGGCACATGCCTGTAATCCCAGCAGCTTGGGAAGCTGAAACAGGAGGATTGTGAGTTCAAAGCCAGTCTCAACAATTTAGCAAGGCCCTAAGCAACTCAGTGAGACTCTGTCTCTAAATGAAAAACAACAACAACAAAAAATAGGGCTGGGGATGTGGTTTAATGATTAAGTGCCCCTGAACTCAATCCCTGGTCCCCATCTCAAAAAAAAAAAAAGGAATAATAGAAGAATATTCCCTAGACAAGAAGAAGAAGAAGAGGAGGAGGAGACGGAGGGGGAGGGGGAGGGGGAGGAAGAGGAGGAGAGGACAGGGGGCGGAGAGAAGGGGAGATTCTGTAGAAGTAGTATGTATGGAACTTTCTTTTTTTGGACCCTGGGTTCGGAGCTTTCACACTTTGATTGTATGAAACAATGTAATTTTTAAATTATTTTAAAGAGTGCTTTGGCACACTGAAACTATTCATTATGTATATTGCCCTTGGATGAAATGGGAAATCCTGGGGATTTTTAAAAATTCCTTGTCATGAGGTTTTTAAGCACAGTGAATACTATGGAGGGAATTTTATCATCTCCTACTTCTCCAAACGCAGAGATTAAAACTTCAAAAACAAGTCCTAATCACAAGTATCTTTGCTTATGTATATGAGACATGTTAATCATGTTCAAGTGACAGGGTTTCAGTAAAGGGAAGAAGTTAGAATTACTCATGAACACAGTGGAGGACAACTTTTTATTCTTATTTTTTAAAAGAACTGTGTTCTTATGAATTTCAAGTAATGAAAACAATATTAGTTTCTTCAAAGAAGAAGGGGAGACTCCTAAGTCTTGCATTTTTACCTTGTCACCCTCTTGTTTTATCTTGACAGCTGCAATGAAGGCTACACTGGGGCAAGGTGTGAGAGAGTTGACTTGTTTTACCTAAGAGGAGATAGAGGACAGATTTTGGTGATTTGTTTGATAGCAGTTATGGTCATTTTTATCATTTTAGTCATTGGTGTCTGCACATGCTGTCAGTAAGTATTTTTTAAGTTTAATTTTAATTATCTTGCTCTTTGTTTTCTTTTCTTCTTTTCTTCCTTCTTTATTACCTTCTCTTTCCCTTTTGCTTCAATTGAAATAAATCTATTTTTGATGCTTGCCATCATTAATATTGAAGTATTTATTTACATTGAAGCCCTGATACACATTTTTTATCATTTTATTGGAAACAAGTATTATAATTTGAAACAAATTTTATTTTAAAATTTTTAGGTTGGCCACATTAAGATATGTGTAATTATTTATTTTATGTGCAAATAATGATTACATTCTTTCCCCTACTTTTCATTTTAAATCCCAAATTTGAGAGTCAAGAACCAGCATGCTTTTTCTTTGATGCACAGTGGCTTGCTGTAAGGATTTTTGTTTGTTTGTTTCGTACTGGGCATTGACTGAACCCAAGGGTGCTCCACCAGTGAGCTACATTCCCAGCCCTTTTTAATTTTTGTTTTGAGACAAGATCTCCCTAAATGGCCAAGGTTGGCCTTGAATTTGCAATCCTCCTGCCTCAGCGTTCAGAGTCATTGGAATTACAGGTGTGTGTGCCACTGTACTTAGCACTGAATTATTTTATTTTATTGTATTTTTTTAGCCACAGCAGCACCACCACATAGAATGGTGAAAAGGTGTTCTGTATAAGTGTCCTCTTCTTGTCTTGAGGAGCTAGCCAGCTTCCCTAAATGGTTGCATCTACTTCTGTGTTGTGTTCCCCTTTCAAAGTGCATGTCTCATGATTCCTTTCCTCACAAAGTTCTTGGGAGAAAAACAGCAGCAGAGTCTGACTTTTTGTCCTGGTTCTGTCATTGTGTATCTTTGAGACTTCAGGCAAATTTCTTAATACCTTTGAACTTTAGTTTTCTGTGAAACAAAAATATTAAATCAGTTGATATGTAGAATTCCTTCTATTATAAAATTGAAAAAATACTTTTGAGCTTATGTACTTTATGATAGGAAGAAATATTCATAATGCCAAGTTTGGGGCAGAGAAAGAATTATGCAGGCCTTGGAAATAGCCTATTTTGTAACATGAATTTTGAAATGTACTTTCAGGAAGGTGGACTGTCTAGAAGCTTAAATAATAATTCAGAGGCTATGTTCACTCTCTTGTTTTCTTATGTCTGTTCTGAGTTTCGACTGTTTCTTCTCTGTACACTAAATAATGCTCCCTGAAAAGTTTTCTTGTGCCAACTATTCTTCACCAACACTAATGAGCCATATTCTTCCTGTTTAGACAACTATACTCAACCCATCCTGTTGCCTATTGTAGTTTAAAAGAAAATCCAATATATTTAAGAAAAAAAGCACCTTACCCACCTTTAACAGTCTAGAAACAAAACCATACACTTTTGTTGAATCATTTTGTGTTCACATGAACTAACAGGCCCATATTAATTTCTAACATATTATTTTCTAAGTCCTCTTCGGAAACACCGTAAAAGAAAGAAGAAGGAAGAAGAAATGGAAGCTCTGGATAAAGATATAACTCCTATAAATGAAGATATTCAAGAGACTAATATTGCTTAAGAGTAAGTAGATGGGAAACTATTCCAGTGATGTATAAGTGGTGAGATGTCAAATAATCAGTGGTTGGAATTTGATTATTTTTAAAAACACCTAAAAGTATTTGGATTCTTTTTTCCCCTTAAAACCTGAAGGCAAATAAAATACTCTGTCATAGTTTTCTTTGGAATGTTACCACTCAAAGAGACAGGCATTCTAATTCTGCTTGGTCGTAGTGATTATACGTTTTCTTCCTCATTGGGGGGCATAAGGAAGAGGTATCTTTAACTTATATTTACTAAACATTTACCATATGCCAGTGCCCTTTATATGTATCAGTCAGGATTTCAGTAGGAATCACAAATCCACTTGAATAATCCCAGGAAATTTTGTGGAGGGGGCTGTGAGGGCAGGTTGAAAGCGATCGCCAAGGGGTGTGGAGGCTGCCTGAGTCTGGCGGTGGCAGGGAGCTCTTCTCCTTCCTGGTAAGGCTAGGGTAAGAATTACTCTAGAGCCAGAGGCTTGCTGGAGGAGTACCCATCCAGCAGGAACAGCCACGGCTGGGACCTTAACAATGGAAGAGGAAACATCAAATTAAATATCCAAGACTTCTTCCTGCCTTCAGATCTGTCACTGGCGCTTTCTATTAGCTGAGTCCAACCAGAATCCAGAGAGCAATCTGTACTGACCAGCCCCCTGGATATGCAGCAAGACAGAGAAAGCTGCTAGGGGGCACACGGAGCAGGACTGGCAGAATTCAGCAAGACAGTTTTAGTGGGATAACATCAAACCTGACTCAGACTGGCTTAAAACTGAGGCCATGTGTTGACTCACTTGAATGGAAGCCCAGAGGAAGGTAGGCTTTGCACTTGGTCAAACCGGAGACTCACGCTAAGAAAACAGATTATTTTTCCCCTTTCACTCACTGTTCAAAGAGTTGGCTTCATCCTTGGCCAGTTCTTCTGGATCACAGGAAAGACCAGCAGCAATCGGGCCACAGGTTTTCTCAGTCACCTTCAGCAGGAGAGCGGAGTCTTTCCATGGCCCTCTCAACTGTACAAAGAATCTCCTTTCTCTGACTATCCCAGATGCTCAATGGGATGCAATAAATGCCTGTTGAGAAATTATAATGTTCTACTAATCTAATACAAAGACCACCCTAGTGAATTGAATCCACAAAGACTACCTTTATATTTGTAATTATTGTCATTATTACATAGTGTATTTTTTTTAAATGGCTGCTCTTATTTTCTTTATTTTCACAGGCTGATGGCTGGTGGCAAGTTATAAAAAGCCTTGCTCCTTTGAAAATGGACAGAACATGTCTCAGGAAAACAGCTAGTTGAAATGAATTTTAAATATTGTATTTACTTTTTATTTGTATCTTCAGTTTGTGTTGTTTATTATTGTTTTTAATAATAATAATTTTATTATAGTCTATAATTGGGGAGAAAAACACCTGGGTAGATAACAACAATAAGAAAGGAATTTGAATAAATTTTCACATAAGTTTTGTCACCTGGATTATTAGTTACGTAAAAAAGTGGGAAGGAGTTTAGATCTTAGGGACTGAATTAATAAAGCTACTATTTTCATATACTTATTGTGTGCTAAGAATTTGAAATATGTTATTTTATTTAATCCTTTCAATAATCTGTGAGACACATAAGATCCTTATTTCCCAGATGTGGAAAGAAGCCAAAAGAAGTTAAAAAATTTAACCTAAATTTAGAGTTAGGAATTGGTGGAGCTTGGATTTGAACCAAGCTTTACCCAGATTTAAAGTTGGTGCTCTTAATGATCATTTTTGTCACTTTGCATCGGTGACCTCACTCAATGATATAAGATTTCATATTGCACTGCATTTTGCTATGATTCTGAGATGTCAAGGCCATTTTCCTGCAGGAACACAGAAGGCTGAGTCCCAGCTAATGTTGCTGTTATCATCATGCTTTCTGTGGAGTTGAATTTTACTATGTTTCTTTGCTCCTTTATAAAGTGTCAATGACATGAATAAATTCTTACATTATTAAAACAAACAGATTTACCCCATAGTTAGAATAATGAATAGAGGTGGAAGAGTAAATTCCTGACATTCTTTAAGCCCTGAAAAAAGTATTTATGCTCAATAAAATATAAAGCACCAGAAGAGGCTGTCAATATCAGTGACAGCACTGCAGACCCCCGGAAGACATTAGTGATGAACACCCCCCTCATTCTGTGTCCTTCTAAGCAACAGCATCTGTGAATGCTCTCAGGTGAATTTTGGTGTATGAACGTAGCATCTATTACCATCTTGCAAATGCTCCTTCAACTCCATGATAGCTTTACTAAAGACTGCATTAAATTCCAAATAGTAGAAATCAACATTGAGTCAATATTCCATAGAACATGGAACTTCCTACATTAATTAGGAGAATCACTTACAAAAACCAATGAAAAATGTCTCCAAATTTCTGCATTTTGTGACTGTCAGCCAAGTAGCTTCTTTTCCAGAATCTTTTTAAATTTTACTTTACAATGTAAATCCGAAAGCCAAGGTAAAGCAGAGAATTCAGACAAAAGCTGAAATTGTATATATTTTTCTAGTGTTTTGAGTGAGGGAAGGCAGAGACTATGTATTACACAGAAATAGTTCACCTATGGATAAGAGCCAATTCAAACAACTGACAATGTTCACAATTGATTTTTTTCTTCTGACTTAATTTTTGTCCTTGACACATGCTTACATCCAATTTGCTCATGTTATATGTGCTACATTTTCAAAAGTCTCCAAAGGGGTCATTCATACCCTCTTTCTTCCCCAGTCTTCTTTGATACTAAAAGAGTTTGGGAAAAATGTCCCTTATTGAATTAAAACACAAGACAATTCTATAAATGTATCTTCTTTACCGAACCAAGGTTGTCTGACCAATAAATCTCTCAAGCCAACTCAGGCTTGGGAATTCCACTTTGATACTAAAAATTTTAAAGGTGTGTTTTGAAATTCTGATGTCAAGATGAATTTCAAGTACTTTCCTGTCTTTTAAAAATGTGTTTTATAATTATTTTTGCATATATTAAATGACTTTGTTTATGTAAACTGTCAATAATATCATGTAATAAAATACATTTATTTTTAAAACAAAGCAAACATTTCTACTTGGAAAATTTCTATTGATAGCATGGAATATTAATAGAAATAAACTTGAACATTACTGTTTTAAAAACTTTATACTTTAGAGAATTATTCATTAATGCATTTATATAGTGAAGTTAGACAATGGGTTTTCTTTAGAAGTGAGCATTATTTGAAGTGTGTTGGGCACCCATGGGACTGTCTGCCCAATACCCAGACCCCATCTTTGAACTCCACCTCCAGCTGTATTTGGTCAGTCTAAGGTGGGCACTCATTCAAATCAGAACAATTAGTCATTCCCATGGGAGTTAGGAACTCAATATCAGTCTGTTTTGGGTCCTTGGAGTAAAAACAATGTGCATTCTGAAGCTTTGACAGTTATGTTTTGCTTCATCTGAACAAGAAAAACAAAGGACACTGGTCAGCAAAGAGAAGACTAAATCAATAAAGAACAGAGCTGAGATATAATTTTCCTGACAGAGTTAGATGCTGGTTGTACATACTGTGGAATTTTAGCCTCACTCTATCTGTGAGCTCCATGAGGCATGTTAGTATCTTTGTAATAAATTCCTCATTTGCCTTAAGCTAGGTCTGTTTAGGTTTCAGTAACCTCACCAACTCAGGAGCTTTGAAGGAAGATTGCAGAGAAGTTTCCTTTAATGCAGTAATTGTGTCCTCTGTGAAACAGAATTTTGAATAATCATTTTTAAGGAGTACCTGCTACTGTATTAGGGATATTTCTAGCAAAAACACTGAATTTTTCTCCATCCAGACATTCAGAAGACTATGGAGAAGGAGCAGGGAATTGAGTGAGCATTGATTGGGCACCACTGTGTTACAGGTGTGCCACCTACTGTGAGGAATGCTAAAGAGGAATAGGAAAGGATTTTTGAGAAGCTTTGAACTGAGCGATGGTGTTCGGTTTGCTCTGATAATCTCAATATAAACTTAGTGCTAGAGTGGTTTATTTTTAGTGTCAACTTGACTGAATTAAGGAATACCTAGAAACTTGGCAAAGTATTATTTTCTGTTTCCAGAGGAAATTAGCGTGGGAGTCTGAGTAACTAGTTGGGAGTAGACGAGTGGTTGGGAATCATACCATCTACTTGGCCAGGGGCCCAGAGAGAGCAAATACAGAAGGTGAGCTGGTCTCTGCTCTGAGAGGGGATATAGACTTTTTGTTTTCTTTTCCTGCTGCCTTGGATGTCAGAACTCCAGGCTACCTAATCTTTGAACTCCAGAACATAACACCAGTGGCCTCCAGCCCTCAGCCTTAGACTGGGAGACACACCACTGGTTTCTCTGGTTCTAAGGCCTTTGTCTTGGGTTGAGCCATGCTACCGGCAATGCAGGATCTCCAGCCTGCATGTGGCTTGCTGTGAACTCTTCAGACACAATAATTGCATGAGCCAATTCCCCTAGTAAATCCCCTCTCATACACCCTGCCAGTTCTGTGTCTTCAGAGAACCCTGACTAATATACGTGCTTTGAGAGAAACTGGAAGCATTATGGAAACAGACAGCAAGATGCTGTGGCCAGCTTGGAAAGAATCCAGAAAGTTCCTGGAGGAAATGACATCTAAGTTGATGATTGGCTCTGAGAAATCATCCTCTCTGCCCTAAATTCTGAGAAACCTCAAATATTTCTTGCATTCTTGTCAGATTCTACAGAATTCCTTTAAAAGCAATAGGGAACCAGTGGGGGGAGAGCAGTAATCTAGAGCTTCACTCCTTGTTCCAGGCTGCCCTGGGCACTGCAAGTGAGAGTATGTGGGCATGTGAGTTGCAAGGTGAGATGTTGCCGGTTTGAATGATCTTATGTGATTAAATGATGGCCTGTGTTAGAAGACAGGTTTTCATTTCTTTCCTGCAGTAAATTATGTAGGCCTTTCACATTTTGTATCCGA